CCGGAACTCGTTCGAAAAGTCTCCTTTACGAACCTCGTTACGGACCTCGCCTTCGGCTCGGGCCGCAAACCTCTCGGTTCGCAAACAGAGACTTTTCAAACTCGTAGGAAAACTACTATTTCGCAATAGTGTGCGGAAAATAGGTGTTTTCCGCACTATTTTTGGCATAGAAAATCGATTTTCTCGCATAGTGTGCGACAAACCCGAACTCGTGCCTTTCGATTCACTCGTGTGCTCAACTGGCACTCGTTCCCGTCAACTCTGGCCACTCGTGTGAGTCAATCACTATTCGTGCGGGAAATCGTCTTTTCCGCACTTGTTACGTAAATAACTATCACGAGTCACATATACTTAAAATGATGAAAATAAAATGTCAAATACTTAACGATAAGATTTTTTTTTCTCTTGATGAGTATCGTTAAATATATTATATTGTATCAATTTGTGGTAATTCTTTGGGGTACAAAACCTCCTTCGAAAATACGAGACTATACGTACCAGGGGTCAATTGGACTTCAGCAGAATAATTGTGGTCGTCATCTGTATCCGACGAGTAGTAAGTCGGTTCTACTTTGATATAGTGCACTTCCGAAGTCACTTTCAGATCTTCACCTGTAATATATATATATTTTTTTTTTCTTAATTCATCACGAAACTTAAATTTTATATTTCATTGTAGTCGAAAATGCAAAACTCACCTATGGTCATAACGGGTATTATTTTGGCATCGAGTCTCTTTTTTTGATTTTTCTTCCCAATGTGATACTTAACAGGATTTAGTAAACCTGCAAATGATAGCATTCGACTGTAAATAATTTAGGAGGCACATTAAACGTTTGGATTGGAGCATCTTTTAAATAATTTCGTACTTATGTTATTCGTAAAAGGTTGCACACGTTTATAGCAGGGCATTAAGTATTTGCACGGAAGAGACAGAAAATGATTCAAGTTTACATAACTTTTCTTTTTGTGATGATTAAAATAAAAATAAACATTCAAACTTTTAAACGAATAAGTGAGTAAAAAGCATGTGACAAGCGTGTAACATATATTTTATTTTTTTACGAGTCTTAATAATACTAATCTGGGAAAAGTATGTGTGATTTTGTTTTGATTTTACATTGTCCTTAAAAATAACATATTGTCGAACTTAATTTTACATGAATACTTTATCATCAATTATATTTTTGATATAATATAGTTGTAACTATTACATCCTTCAATTGTTCACGAAAGTTCATCGCTCAGCACCTAAAAATAATATCGAACATTAGTCAAGGGTTTTTATTGAACTGAAAAAAAAATGTACATGATTATTGACAGTACAAAATAAAGATTTTAATGAGGTATAACTATTCAGGAGAAATAAATCACAACGATTGATAATTTATAAAATATTTTAATAGTTAAGTACCTTGTACATAGTTTGGTAAAATGTATTTCACCCATTTGTTTTAAGTATACAGTTGAATACGTCATTTAAATACGTATGAAAATATATTTATTGACCAACTCCACGTTCCTCTTTGAGTATAAAATGTTAATTCTACCTAACAATTACAAAAATACCTATTAACAAAACCATTCACCTGCAAGATTTCATTATTCCTTTGCATTAATAATAATCTTATGATAGGTAAATATTTTATCCTAATCTATGGTACGTTGTTTGTATCAAATTATAATTAAAACAAAGATACATTTGTTTCATAATTATAATGGTGTATGAGTTAAGTACGGGTTGTAAGTACTTTGATTGCAAAAAAACAGGAATGTCTGAGTTGAAAAAATTATCTATTATAAATATTATTTGACGCAATATTTGATAAAAAAATAAAAATTTTTAAATACCCTTAAACTAATAAATGTTTATAAAATATCGCAAGTTAGCATCCTTAGCTCTAAAAATTAAATTATTCATTAAATGGAATGTTCATGTGATGTAATACACATTAAAAAATTTTTCACAAAATTTACCTCCTTACAGTTGAATTCTGATGCGTAAATGCATATAGTTACGTATCAAAGACGTTCACAGAAATCATTCGTATGATTGTTGGTGTTTAATTTTGAAGGCACTGACGTTGCAATTTTTTTTTGCTTAAAGCATACATAGTTAATCAAAATGTTTGTTTCTCAACAAATTTTTTTTCTAGTAACAACATAAAACTTAACAAAATAATTTTTTTCTGGAATTTTTTTTTGAAAATAATACTTAAAATCATATTGTACAGTAAAAAAAGTATTTTTTGTGCTATAAAAGA